CAGATTTGTTTCTCAACACAAGGCGGAGGAGCGCTCAAACGACCGACTCAACAATCGATTTATTGGCTCAACTTTTTGCTACAACACAAAACCTTGTTAAACAAATCATGCAGGAAGTTATTAGTGCTCCGCCACCACAGAGGTGTAAGAGGCTGGTGGTGCTTTGGTGGCACCCAATGAGAGCAAATGCACAGCTATAAGTCATAGCGTTTGCCCATTTATATAGTAATTCGAGGGATATGGCAACCCTAGAGCATCAAACTAGTAAGAGCATAGAAGTTGGTGCTATAAGTGTTTAAAAAAGTAATTTTATTTTATTAGAGTTTTATTTGTCTGTATTTGAAGTATAAAGGATATTAAGAAAACTAACATGTATACACTTGGGACCAAATTTTAATTTGTACAAAATAAAATAAATTAATTATAATTGGTTGTATTATATATACAACATGCCTTTATTTGAAAGTAAAAAACAGATAAATCTTTATTAATTAAATTTTTTTAGTCAAAATAATTGTGCTAATTTGTTAATTGCATTATATTATTGGTTTTATTTCAAAAGGTGAGGTCACTTAAATAATTTTTTGATTAGATTAATTTAAAATTTAAACTATTTAAATTGTGCAATGCATAAATAGTGGATTTTCTTAAATAATCTAACTAACTAAAAGAAATTTATTTCTAAAAGATGCAAATATAATTTAAATGATTGTATTGTGTGATATGGATTATTTAGTATGATCACATATAATTCTATTCAAGAATGAAATTTATAATTGTTGACATATATTACTTTTACAAACTGATTATTTCAAACATTAAATGAGGGAAGAGTAAGAAACATTGAGAGAACATATGGATAAAGTTTTCTAGAGTTAAATTCTTTGAGATTAAATTTGAAACATAAGTATATTTTTCTTCATTTTTTATCAAGTGTGCATTCCTCCAAGTTAAGGATAAAACTATTTTTGGATAAATGAATTTGAGTTTGTGAGAGGTCTCAAAATCTTAAAATAATTATAGAGATTCTTAATTCAATAGTAGGTTGGCAAGAGTGGCAGTTATCTCACTTGTAGTAGAAGATAGGTGCAACATTTTCGATACTATCTACCTTGATATAATAAATGGAAAGAGGAGTGAAACCTCCTAGAAGAGGACTAAATGAATGGATATGAGTGTTTATGTTGAATCATGGTAAATTAGCTTGCATCATCTTTGCTTTTTACTTTCTTGCAGCCCTAACTTTGTTTTACTTGCTAATACCATATTAGGAAATGATGAACAGTATTGAGATCTCAGAATTGCTTGTATTGGATGATGGTAAGATTTTAGTACCAAATATTCTTTATTATTGCAACATATTATCAAATAACTAGTTATAAAGAGTATAATAAATCATCAAAAATTTGTATCATTATTTAATATCACTTATTTATAATAAATTTCTCAACTTATTTCTGTGTAAAAAAAATGCACCAATTTTTCAAAGATAATTAATGCTTATTGCAATTACATATGATCACACATTGATACAAAATAAAATTTTCTTATTTTTTGAAAAAAAAAAAAACTTAAACATAGACATAAAGGTTTCAAGCTCTTGAGGAAAGGTCTTTAGTTCAAAACTTTGTGTATTGATTTGAACAAATGATGGAGGGACATCAATTATTGTAGTGACATGAGAGGTTTGAATATTTCAATATTCTTCTTGTGCTTCAAATCTTTTTGTTATGTAGATCTGGATGATCCTTGAAACATTTAGAAGGATTGTGCACAAAGATTTTGCAGAAAGAACAATTTTCAAAGATGCATTCATAGACTTCTTTTTTGGTTAATTTCCATGAGAATTCGAGGGCAATCCATGCATCCTTTTTCATCGGTAAGGTAGCATTAATTTCAACCAAAATCCTAACCAAATAAATGTTTTAAAAAACGAGGAACAATAACGTTCACTTGCAAAGAGTTTTAAAGATAGGTTTTAAGGAGTATAAAATATTTTAGTTGAAGAAAGTAAAGGAAGTTGATAGACAAACAAGAGTGATATATAGTTTCACAGATGAATTAAAATGGGGAGACCATATGAGAATATTCAATAAAAAATCGCTGACAATAGATGTATTGGAGAAGAATTTAGTGTGGTATGTATCTGTACATTAAAAAAATGTCAGCTCTGATCCCGAGAAGATATGACGGTTCAAAAGTAAAAGAGTACAACAGAAAAGGACCCACCGACAGAAGTCTAGGAGGCCACATATCCTATCGAATTAAACCCTCCAAGCCAGAGTAAGCAAGACCAAAGTTGATTGAGTCATGAAAATAACTAAATTATCCAGGTTCGAGTCATTTGGTTAAAAATGAGACTGATTTTCAAGTCATCGTCATGAAGAAAACGACAAGAGGAAGGTCCTACTCCCTCGACATTTCCAATCATATCGGGAAGATTCGAGAGCTCCTCCATTTATTATTAGGGGTCGACAACCCAACTAACTCAACCGATCAATCTAGCCCTCTCGACCCAAAGCCCACAAAGCTTAGTCGGCTGGCAATACTGACTAAGCCAAGCCGACAGAACTATTTTTGTTGAGCCAAAGCCAAATGAGCTCCGCCGACCAAGCCAGAGAGCAATAAGGTGATATGCTCAAATTTGTAATATTACGAATATCATGTACAATCCTCGTTAAAATAGTAACGGAAATATAACATCATTATATTATACTATCTCAACTATAAATAAAAAAGATCATTTCATGAATAATACATAAAGTATTATTGTTCACTCATCTGACTCTCTCTCTCTCTCTCTCTATATCTCCTTACACTCTTTTAGGGTGTGTTGTTCACTCATCTGACTCTCTCTCTCTCTCTCTCTCCTTACACTCTTTTAGGGTGTAATTCACAGACAAATCATGATTCAACAGTATGCAAGGATAGTTCAATAATAATGTATTGATGATTGATAGTCCCAAATAAATAGCAATCAAATAATACATGTAGATTGAAATTTGCAAATGACAGTCTACAATTGGACAGCCTAAAGAGAATATGCTTGGAGATAATACTTAAAAGAAAGAGCAGATGCTCTCCTTGATATAAGGATGAAAATTTAAATGATAATGTAGTCTTGATGAAAATGAAAAGAAGAGTGAATGGTAGGAGAGTCATAGTCCCGAGGCTGATGAACCTCCCTCAAAATTGGCAAAAATAACAAATATATGATTAACAGAACACATAGAATCTAATGAAATGTTAATAGTTCGACTGAGAGAGATGGAGCTCATGAGTGTAGCCGAGAAGTGGCGATGATATGAGTAACAAGAATTTTGAGTGGCAAAAAACTGCCTGGGTTAATAGTACTTCTCCATGATATGGACGTTAAAACTATCTTTTTTAAGCGCCTAATAAACTTCATAAAAATAAGCGTTTTTTCATTTCTTTCGCATTATTCGAGAATGGTTGGTGTATGGCAATTACTGGGTTTTGTTCAACTAGAAAAGGCACGCTATGCAGTGGACAAATATTTTAGGGGGCATTTAGCACTTGCTCCAATTATACCACTTTTAAGTTTTTCCACCAAATTACAAATAGCAATTATCTCTTATCTCTACCGTCGATCACCACAAAAATATATTTTAGTGAGCCCCACTGTCAATTTTTTTAAAAAAAAAAATTAATCGCAGTGATCAATAGTAGAAATCGGACACAACATACATCTCTACATACATTATTCATATAAAATAATTTCTCAATTTAAGAGATTGGGTACATCATATTATGCATATGTATAATGCTATGATTGTAAAAAATCTGTGTTTCAGATATATAAATTTAAGGGAATTGCATGGCATGTCTCTTCCCCCATCTTAAGCCCGTGACAAGTATCCAATGACATTGGGAAGGGAAATCAACGTTGACCAATGAGCCCCCAAATATCTCATAGGCAACAAAAATAATTAGGTATACGGAAGCAAGGAGTTTGCCTCAGCTTTGTAGACTTCAAACGAACAAATTTGCTAATAATCAAATAGCTTCAAACTGTTCAAATAATACACTTGCATCACAGATAGGTCGGGCTGCTCATGAGCTCAAATTCAACCTAATTCAACCTAATTTTGGACTGAGAGAAGATGATCTCATTCCAAAATTAGGTTGAATTTGAGCTGGAATCGAGATCAGTTCAGCATACAAATATGCAAGCGCAGCATAGCAAACTTAGCTGAAAATATGAATTCTTCAATGATCTCCATATACCACCAATAAATTCCTTCACCCTTTTCAAGTGATACACATGGCAAGACAGAATTATAGCACCACAATAAGAGACCAATTCCACCTATTTTCTTCGACAGCCCATCCCCAAACAACAAATCCAGCACAAACACAACAATTACCGCTTGACACGGGACCCACGTCGATTTCGAATAACTTTATATCTAAACACACCGAACACCCTGCTCCACATCCCGGTTCAGTCTCTAACCCGAGCTGTGAAAAAGCCCTAAACACCCATGTGCATACCACAAACCCAACTCCACAAATTCCTCGGCATGGCCAGCCCTCACGTGGGTGGACCCACTGAGTAGATATTTATTTCATTAACAAAATAAACGTTATTAATTGCTTTATTAAAACAAATGATAGAGATTAACCGGTCAAATATTAAATCCCGTATGGGAAGACTGATGGGGCCCGCAACACGATCCCCCCACATCGAAGAAACCTTCCGAATTGCTTTATTAAAACAAATGATAGAGATTAACCGTTCAAATATTAAATCCCGTATGGGAAGACTGATAGGGCCCGCAGCACGATCCCCCCACATCGAAGAAACCTTCCGCTAATTTATAAATAGCAAAAGACGAATTAATTAGATTCCGTTTCCCAAAATCCACTTCAGACAAATACAAAAACAATTAAACATTAGTAATTAACTTTGTAACAACGCCCATTAACCTTCACTGCTACTATTACAGTTCTAGAAAAATGAAAATAGTCGTAAAATATCTAAAAGAAACATACTTTTTATTCCTTATCGGCTAAGCTAAAAGTGGTGCCTGAGATAATTTCTTTTTTTTTTTTGCAGGAGGGACCAAAATATGCAATGCTGCAAAAAAAAAAAAAAAGTTGAAATGAGGGCAAAGATAAACTAAACTTTATTACAAGAAATGCCCATGAACACTTGCTTCTCTCAGTCACCGGATCTAAGTGATTTTATTGTTTTCTCCTCCAATCGGCTTCACAGATGCAGGCGAGCCGGCGAGGTAAAGACTATTATCGTCTTCCAGATCTAACTTCAAACAAACCACCAATCCAAAAATACATAATAGTTACCTAATACTAATCTGTTAAATTGATTTTTTTTTTTTTACTTGGAAACATTGCTTCTTCAAACTGCTAAGCCTAACTGAGTATTGACTGATTAGTGGGGGGTCAGTAAGTCCATTCCTGCGGAAGTTGGATTTCGTGGCCGGACAAAGCGGGAGGCTGATGGTGGTAGTGTGGTTTCTGAAGAAGAATCGAACCGTTGCCGCGAGTAGAAGCCATTTCTGAATAATAAAAAGAAAATTGTTAGTACACATTTAAAGAAAAAGAACGAAAGAGTTGCGACGAGATACTTGCCATGGTCGCAAGGGAAGCATCCTGGGTAGCGATGATTTACTGCGCTGTCTTCAAGGTTTAGACTTAGAGCCTGAACTACCTTCGCGGGGAGAAGAACTGTTGAACAAGCTGAAGAGAGATTGCACAAGTCAGTAGCTGAAGAAAGAGAACATGTTATTTAAAATAAAAGGACTTTGGAACACAAGATTTAAGCTAACAAAGAATCAAGATTTACATGGCTTCTTTCGACTTTCATTGTGGTTGCCGGCTCGACGAGGAAGGAATACTCCCGTGCCTGTGGATTCCCGACGCGTTCCTGAACTGTTGAGGAAAACAGCTCTCATTCCAGAACCCGGCTGCTGCCGCTGAAGAGGTGGCCAAGCAGAAGTCACCAAGTTAGGTTGTCGGTTATTTCTCGTTGCTCTGTTCTGCCGGCTCCAAGCAGCAGTGACTTGCTGCTTGATCAATTGTTGTTGTTTCAGCTGAAAGAACTGCTGAGATAGAAACTGAACTAATCAGAGGCGAACTCATAGTTAATAGAGGGGAAAAAGACGAGACAAAAACTTACCTGGGCTGCCTGGAGTTGCTGCTGAGTGAAGATTGGGTTATATGATCTATAAAGGTTTGCTTGAGATTCTACACGTGGTGAGGGTTTTTTAGGCGGGATGAGAAGCCCCCGTCCACTAATCCTTTGCTCGTTCTGCCTCATTCTTCCAACCTGCCCTGCTGCTGCATAAAGAATGTCCCACGCATCATCTTTCCTCTGCTCAAACGGAGTTGAAGGAGGTGAAGAAACTTGTGATGGCCCATTCGGGCTACCCTCATTCGAAGCCGTCCAGATTCCAGTGTCACAAAGGGTCGACTGCGGAGAGGTGGCCATGATCTAAAACAGGGCAACATGAGCATACTTCAGCCAAACAGCTAACCAAACATATAAAAAAAAACAGCAATAAGAAGAAATCTGTGGCAAAACATGCCTTGGCGTTCAAAGCAGTGCTTAATTTCTCGTCATCCAGAAAGGAGTGCGCCATCTGCCGAGTTAAACCCGCGATGTAGTCCTCCTCTTCGCTCTCGGACTCAATAGAATCCCCAACATAAGAACCTTTGTTGTCACTTCCCACCAACGCCCGCCTCTCTTCAAGGAAGAAGTCCTCATCCAAAAACTCCGACGGAAGCCAGAACTCTGCATCCTCCATCTTCTCCGACATGTTCGCTCCGTCTAAAACACTCGAGTTAACCAGGCAACCCTAGAAAAGAGAAAAGGGACGAAGCAAGGTTGAGTCCGGATCGTTCTTTGCTAGTAATAATTTTTCCCTCTTCCTTCCCTTTCTCCGCTGGTTCGGGCCCAGAACAGAGGAAAGAGAGACGAAATGGAAACCGGGAATGTCAAAGGCCTCGAGACTCAGGCATGGGAACGGTCGTGAAATGGGGTTTTATCAGACGGGAGCAAATAATTACTTTCGATAAAATAATTAATAAAAATTTTAAATAAATATTAAGATTTTTTTTTTTGGGTATAAAAATTAAGATAATTATAAATCAAGTTATACAGTCGTTCGCACCCGCTGGCCGCTGCAGTAGTTGGAGCTATGCCCACCCTCTTCCATTTGGTTTGAATTCGGATTATTTCAATTAAAATATAATTAAGATTTTTAATAATCACACACTTAAGTCCAAATTTTGTAATTTTGCTTAAGCACGGTAAAAGATGCCAACCTGACTTACAAGGGTAAGCTTGTAATTATGCAACTTCAGTTCTCACTAATTATTGCTTAGTTTTTTCCTCTCCCCAAGGATAAGGAGTAATTTAATTGTCCGTTTCCTAGGGGTAATACCTAATTATTGCTTAGTTTTTTCCTCTCCCCAAGGATTGTCCGTTTCCTAGGGGTAATAAGGTCACTTTACTTTTGACCACGAAATCCCTACGGCGGGAAAAAGATCTGAATCTTCGTAATAGGGCCGGACTGTCATGTGCCTGTCGGGTAGAATGTCCCTTGCCCTCACTCCTTTTCCTTTTAAGCCATGAAAATAGTTAAAATCGCATTAATACCCTCCCACTTCGCCGTATATCCCGCTCCACTAATTTTCTCTGAGATCCAGTGACCATCCCGTGCGGTTACCCCACATGTATTTCACTTGATTTCGAGCTCACAGTTCCAATGGATAACGGTGACCGCACTCCGAGTTTGGAATCTGAATCTCGAGGTGACGTGGCAGTTACAGTGATCCGAAAAAGGATAACCGTCCCCGCTCCGTCTGGATCATCCACCATCGCTTTCTGTCACACCTTCACGGCCACGATGACGGTGTTTGTTGACGGCTAACCTCAGGCAACTACGATGTATTTAATACGAAAAAAAAAATAAAAAATATAAAAATTAGGCCATGAAGGTGAAGACGTGCATAATGGCCGAAACGGAGAGGACAGCGCAGAGTTAATTTAACGAGGAAATTGCAATACATATAATAAATAAAAAGTAGCGGATTTAAGAAGAAAAAGTGCCGGATTTAAGGGCTGAAAAAAAAACCGGATTTGATAAAAGCGCCTCGGATGCCAACTTTGGTCTTTTTTCGGGTTTCCCGCCGAAAGCAACGGTTACTTTCGGCTTCTCGGCCGGGTTCGAAATTTGAACCACATCAAGCCGGGCCCATCGGACGGCCCTCAATCCCCGAAAATTTTCGCGCCAATCGAGCTCTAGTGGGGATTAGCTGTACTCCAGTAGCCCCCACCGTCTCCCAACCGATAATGCCAAACGGCGCAAGGTTGCGCCCTTTGGCGAATCGAACGGCTGGTGTTAAATCCCCTCCTTTCAATGAACGGTTCGATTTGATGAATCTGCGGGGTCGCGTAATCATCAAATCAAACCGGGCCCATTCTTAGATGTCTCTGGCCCGCCCAAAAGCCCGCTTAGCGTTATGTAAACCTTAAAACTGGACCCGAAGTTAACCAAATCAGCTCTAGTTCCGCCACGTGGAAGCCATATACAGAGTTTACGCAGCCGTGCATCAATTAATTATTCCCGGGCTTTGAGTAAGGCTTAAGTTTGAATAATGCAATCTAACATGATTTTAACTTTATCTTTTCTTTTTTTTTCCTTTTTTTTTAATTGGCTTTTTAATGTTTAATAATTTTCTTTTGATGCTTTAGGTGTTGGTGATGTGATATGGATGAAGGGGGAATTGGTGTGAAATAGGTTAGCTAACACTATCTGTTAATCGTACATTCGGTGATTGTCAATTCCTTTTGCAGGAGCCAAACTTAAATCTAGTTTATGGGGGGGGTTCCTAATCTAATTATAGAATATATTTTTGGAGTAATTAGGATTAAAGAAAGTGTGAGCTGGGCAGCGTTTGGTGCGCCAACTATTTAATGATTGGGACATGGTGTTCAGGGGAGAAGATTAGAGCATCACATGCATCGTGCCATCGTGAATCCTAATTTCAATCAAGGTCTAAACGTGGGTCCAGCATTGCATGATAATTCTTATTTTATCTTGTTTTATCTCAATATAATTATGAAAAGGCAGCTGTATTTGTCTTAGTTCTGAAGTAATATTAAGGAAGGGATTAAGATGTCAAATTTAATATATAATCATATTTAGATAGGGTCAGACCTAATTCAAAGGAGACATAAAGTATGTATATGCTTGTGTAATAATTTAAGATTTTATCATTGAAAATTGGGCATCAATGAAAAATGAAATTAATTTTTTTATTCAAATTAATGAAGCGATCCGATTGAACGGCTTTTACTAATTTTAGATTGGAGTCTGATAAACTTGAAATTTGAGTGTTGATGTCCATTAAGAGGGGCATTTAGACAGACAGAGTTGATGCTATCAACGGGAAATATTTTGGGGGCTAAACCTCTTTTTTATTTAGCTGCATTTAAGTAAGGTCAACTTCATCATCAACAAGAGTACAAAAAATAAATATCATAATAGGTCGATCCGATCGAAAGTTTATATTTGATCTCAAAATCTAAGCTAAATTATTGAGCTAAAGGAGGCTAAAATGTTCCAAAGTCATTGGATTAAATCTAGAGGTGCTTGTGAGTCAAGCCGACTAGTGCGCTGGCTCGGGCTCGACTAAATAAGTGGCTCGTGAATTGGGATGAGGTGTTGGAGGACCACAGAGGACCACATCTGCTAAGGGAGTAAGGGAAAAGATTCATGGACGTTACAGTGAGTGAGGAAGCGATTTTTTTTTTCTTTATGACAACTCCCCGGACAAAGCGTTGTAGCTCATTACTAATGACATCATCTAGAATTGCAGTAAGGTCTGGCGATGCCAAATGAACTGCTCCAGATGGATGATTTGAACTTGTGGTATCTAGAAGTTCAGCATCACGACTTGGAAGGGGAATTGTTCCTTCTTGGGAAGGGGGCTGGTACAAGTTCCTTCGAGTAGTTTGTTTCCCGAAGGTCACTGAATTGGTTGTAAATGAACTCCATCCAATGGTGTGAACAGCGGTTGTTGAGCCATGAGTAGGAGCTGTAAGATTTCTAGTTTAGACTTATCCATTCTATGTATCCGACCTTCCAAAGAAGGACCTGACATGTCTTCATCAGCAATATAGCATCTCTCACGGTGAGAAGATGAAGAGGCATGCTACCCTAGGCTTTGTGACTGCCCCCTGGAACGATAGATGTTGGAGCAAGATATTCTGTTGTCACGAATATTGTATTTGGTGGCCATGTAGTAAGCCTCGCAAGTACTTCAATGGTGGAATTGAGTTCCCACAGACGACACCAAACTGATGTGTGCTAGAAAATTCACGACAGCAAAGTAGCAGATTATTATTTTAGGATGGTATGAAGATTCAACACATACTCAGAAAAAAGAAGACAACTAACCATGACACTATATATTTTTAAATGGGGAACTCAGAAAGGGAAAAATCATAGGACTTAACCCAGCTGAAGAATTTCACTATAAAAATATGATTAAAGTTATAACCCCTTGTCCCACAGGTGAGAAGAGCTACTAAGTTTCTGAAGTTACAATGTCTGCGTGCTGATGAATTTGTTTCTAGGAACGGGCGACAAGCGATAGTTATGAATGATGTCTGGTCGGTGGTGGTCGATAGTGGTTGACAGTGATTGACGGTGGTCGACAAAGATTGACGATGATCGACAACAGTTGACGGTAGTCGACGGAGGTCAGTTGTGTTCGACGGCGGTCAACGGTGATTGATGATAATCAATGAAAATAGACCACGGGTGGCGGTGGCGACGCATGTCATTGGTGGTTGACGGTGATTGACGATGGTGGTGTTGATCTTCAACTCCTTGTCAAAGCTTAAAGCTCTTCTTCAAGCATCAAACTCCTCTCATTTTTCCCTCATGAGAGGGCAGATGCTCTATTTATAGAGTTTCAGATGCAATTAATGTTGGAATATGACCACTTTAATCAGATGGTCCAGAGAGCTTCCTTTGATCACATGTTGTTTGATGGATATTTGAGTACCTTACGATGTCTGAATTGAGCTATATTGGGCCTGTTAGATTATTCTCGTCGAGACACTTGATTTGACTATGAACTTGCTGGATTTGACATTCGTTTTACCATTCAAATATATCTGAAAATGTTCCAGATGAGATTTAATGTTTTGATTAGGGCTTTTTTTGACACGAATATGATCAATTTTGATTCATTAGGTTCATCTCATAGAGTCGGTGACTTTAACTATAAGTTTGTTGAAATCAGAACTCGATGACTTTTAATCGAAGTTTAAATACTTTTTACTCAAAAATGTGCTTGAGATCCGTGCCATCTCTTAAAATTCGTGTTGGAAGCTGGAGTTTTGTTGGTGGCGTATCAATCTTCTTAACAGAATATTGCAAAAAGATTTAAATTTAATTGAATGCTATGTTTTTATGCATATATATATATATATATATACCTGTAATGAATTCATTAAGACAGAATATTGCAAAAAGATTTAAATTTAATTGAATACTATATTTTTATGCATATATATACCTGTAATGAATTCATTAAGATATGTTGAATTAAAATAGCATATTAATTATAAAATCATTACATGGGCATCCAGGTTTGAATGTTTTCATATTAATTAGAAAATCATTAATTGTAATTAAGGAAACAAAAAACGCTTGTAAATTAAATGAGATTTGTTGTATTTGAATATTTTTGAATATATTTTTGAATTGTTCCACGATTACAGGCTCCTTTTTTTTACGTTTTTTTAAAAAAAATCCCAAATTTGCATTTTCTTTTTGGTGCAAGAAAATAGCAACTAAACATATAAGATTAATGATTAAATTTGAAAAAGAAAAATTGTTAATAGCAACTATACTTTTACATTTTATATTTTAAATACAGTTTTTTTTTTTAAATTTCTCAAGAAAAAAATCGTGGAGATAAAAACTACAATTTTACATAACTAAGATCC